TAACAACAGCTTCCTCTTCCAATCATTTGAAAGACAAATGAAAAGTCCTCTGCTTTCGGGACTTACTTTACAGGAAGTGCTTGATACCCCGAAGCAGGGTTATCTTCAAAATCGTTGGAGTCTGCGGATAATTGTGATAGACGTTAAGTCAGATAGCAGTCAAGCCATGAACATTAAAACTATCCAGACTCAAAGGGGTTTCAATGCAGTCTGAAGTAAAATCGTACCAAGCTGTGGCGAGTGAAGTCCTTTGGTAACAAGGACCATTAAGTAAGTTGCACCAGATTAGTAAATATACGCGGTTCCTTCCTGTAAGCGACACCATCTTTGGGCAAATGTCCTGGAGGGCCTAGCGTCATGTGCCACCACGACAGGGTATCATTCCAATGATCACGCACGCAACAGAAAAGTAACATTTTCCCAATAAACTACAGCTTTCGATCTTTGTTTTGCTGCCGGAGCAAAGTGAGTTTGGAAAAAGATGGAGTGCGATAGATACAGCACAATTCTGCCTCACAACCATTTTACGGCTATCCTCATTCTGTGAGCCACGCGGTGGACATAATCGCTTGTGTCGTCGAACTGTCATAGGCACCTTTCTATTGCATGTTAAATGATGAGGGAAAAATAAAGGTAGACTTAAACTGCGCAGTCGCATTAGATTTGGAGAGGCCGGAACATAAAACTTGTAGGACGTGGAGATAGATAGATAGGGAGGGGAGAGAGAGCAGCAGACGTACTGAAGCCAGCGCAGGAATTTTTCTGGCGAACTTGGGTCTCCAGTTGGCGCAGTTGCTTGGCTAGATCCTCAACCAGCTGTTCAAGACGGCCACGGCGATCGGCCTGTGCAGTAAAACAGCGATGCCAACGTTTGGATTGAACCCGCGCATAGGCCAGAAAGTCGGCGCATGACTGGCAGGGAAACCGACAGACAAGAAGGGGACAGTAATGCAAGTGATAGCAGCAACAGAAGGAAAGATCAGCAATAAAAATTTGCAAGACTCACATTCACCATGGCCATACTTGCCACTCTATACACAGCAATTCGATCCTTGACGTTGGAAAAATGTTCAATAATCTCCGCAGGTTCAGTGACGGCCTCTAGCTCGCTAACAGACTTTTGCAGGTCATCAGCCTTGCGTTTAAGGGTATCCTGATAATGTTGTAGGTCACTGATTCTTGAATCGAAATTGGCAAGAGCCTGTTCGATAAGGCGGGGTCCATCTTCTCGAGCAAGTTTCGCCAGATTCCAGTCCGATTCACTGTCGTCCTCCTCAGCCCACCCGTCGGAATCTTCATCTAAAACATCAATTATACAGCAAGCAGTTATATGGAATCCCTTTAAATAAATACCTTTAAGACTACTACCTAGGAAAATGCTTCCATTACAAGCCAGAAAGGTAAACGCTGACCCCACGAGGTGGGCGAAGTGGCAAATTACGCGTGAATTGTCTAAATAGAAGCAAACTTGGGCCCCCTAAACGTCACTTTCGTTTACTACGCTCTTGCCCTCACGGCGGGCCACGCTATATATGATCTGGACTTAAACAGGGCATACGGCCACCTCCAAATACACAAACGGCAAGACTAACTATGGACAAGACGTTTATTTGGCCGTTAATGAGAAAGGTTGACGGTAAAAGAAGGGACATTGTGGTAGTTGAGTTACCACGGTGCATGGTATGCATCCTTTTAGTTGAAGTGAATTTACGCAAATAATGGCATTTTCCCTGTTGGCGTAGAGGGGCAACTGGGTCAAGAAATAGACAAAGATGATTTCCCACATCATCCTACGGAACGTAGGTAATAAGTGGTACAGTATGGTAAGCAAAATGCCGCAATTTGCGGAAGACTGGTAATCATTCCCAAACCAACATTAAGTAGGGTTGCGACACAGATTATCATGCAGTCTGCCCTTCCAATTTCAAATATATTTTATAGAAAACATGCACGAAAATATACCTTCTTGTACACGATTATTAGCAAATTACGCCTTCTTTAAATTTTATATGTAAATAAAGGGTACCTTTCGGTTTTAAAAAAGGTTCCTAAATTGCCGAATAATTTTGAAATTTACCGACTGCTACACATGAATTCAAGATTTCCAAACAGCATGTTGTATACATTCTCTTAAAGGAAGAACGTTTTTGCTTACGGTTTGAGAAAGAGGTCGCACAGTCCTCATAAAGTTTCGCAATAGATGCGGATCATGCTGCATACATTA